CACCTGTCGTTTTGCTCCTCAGCATGGCTTCCTAAAAACACTGCAGGATTTCTCAAAAATGCATGAATGAGTCAGATCAAGGCTTTGGGCATGTTTTTTATGAGAGTATAACATTATAACATGATATAAAACTCAAAAAAGTTGATTTTACATGATATTGCCCCTTTATTGTCTTTGATTTCCCACGTTTTAGTTTTGTGTTTTTGTTTTGCGCGGGGAAAGTTGACCTCAAATAAAGACACAAGTGTATTTTTTGTATACATGTCTAAATAATTTGTGTGTTTATGTAATATCGGTAAATATCGGTCATTGGTCATAACACCGACACAGATATTGAATATCAGTTTCAGGTAAAATTTTCATATCAGTGAAGTTTGTACGTTGTATTAAAAACAGCTGAAGACTTTTTTATTCAAAGTTCCCATAAGATAGTTTGACTATTTAATTTGTTTGAATGTTTTCTTTTAATATTTTGTCTATTATTTATTTCGTTTGATGTATATTTTTAATAAAACCCTTTAAGATGCTGTACAAAGAAACCTTACTTACCTTTTTACACTCTTTCCTGTCATAATCTTATTTTTTTCTTGTAATTTCTTGACGTGTTCACTGTCATGTTTAATTTGGTCCTTTGTTTTTGTTTACGTATTTCTCTCCGGTCTTTTACTTTTATTTTCCTTCATTCTGTCCAGCACCTCATTACCTACCTGTCTTCTGTTTGCTGATGAGCCCAGCTGCAGCCTGTGGGCATCACTCCTCCATCACTTTCAGTCTCTGTGCCAGCACACTGTTTCCTCTCTGTGTTCCATCTTGGTTGTTTTGCTGCCACTTCTTTGTTTTCCCAACCTATCTAGTTGTTCGATTTTTTGTTAAACTTTTTGGAGAGCAGCTAAAGTCAAAAGTGAAAACACCAATTAAAGCATTTTGAAATAAAAAAAACATCTTTAAATCTCAGCTTACAGAAGATCAAATATTACAAGACTTTTTTTATTTTATTTTAGAAAAAATAAAGGAATAAGGTGTAGTTTAAAACGTGTGCACAGACCTGTGTCACATTTTAACGTTGCAGACAGTCTGGTTGTTTATTTGATCCATTTGTTCCAATAACAGAACCTTCCTTGTACAAATTAGCTCAACTCAACAACACTCAACTTAAGTGCACTTTACTGAGCTGACAGTTACAAAAAGCAGCGTCACCAGAGCAATTACACCGGCTATAATACAATTATATTCATTATGCATGTATGACTTCCAGAATCTGGACTTTAACTAGGCTGAACAGGAGGGGGCTTGGGGGGGGGGGTGATCAGAGTAAATTTGCTGAACAAATGAGAGCGAGGCCGTGCACTCAGGTGCCGAAAGGCCGATCTCCTGCACAAATAAGGCAGCGTAATTAGGGGCTGCACTTGTGACCCTGGTGCCAAGGTTAGCGCGAGGGTTAGCTCAGGTTCACAGCGACGTCTCAGCCAGGTGGCCCGAGCCGTTTTAGCCACCGTGGAGGTCAGACTGAGCTTAGGCGGTGTGGGCAAACAGTGGAGCTGTTTGTTCCTCTGATTGGGTCTGGAGACGCAGGGTGACGATGAGCGGCTGTCAACACAGGGGGGGCGTTTACAGCCTGCTGTCACCTGCGTAACATCCCTAGATTTAATTAATCCTCCACGTGTGTAAATCTAGTTTTTGTTTTTTCTCTCAGACAACTTGAAAAGCTAACAGTATTTTCTTTCTCATTGTGTGTTTGCCCCGGTCACCTTGGGCTGCAGATCTGATGAGGAAATGTGGGGATGTTCTAGTGAGACCTCCAGCTGTCCWGATCTCTGTGGACCTCTGGGACATGTTGGACAGACAAAGCCACGTGATCTAAAATATTTAGAATTTATTTCCAGCGTTTTATTTAAAGACAGAGTTTGCAACAGGGGTGTCTCTAGGGGCAGGGTCACAGGGGCACTGGCCACCTGAAGTGCCCCTGTCCTGTCACTCCGAGAGGAATAATAGTGGGTGCAGTTCCATGATCAAACACTAGTAGCGCTAATGAGTCAAACAGGAAAATCCAGAATGAATCAAGCTGACAGAAGTCTTCTTCTCTTCTTAAAAATATATTTAAACAATCCTGCAACAATCCTATCTATTTACAGTAAAAAGTGCATTTAAAATGGATATGGAGCTTCTTTAAAATATTACATTTCAAGTGTTTGAACTTGTGTGACTGGTCAAATATACACCTTACCAAAACCGGGGATTTATTCAGAATTTACAACTTACTCAGAAAAATCCAAGATCCGTCACTGGTTTGCAAAAGCAAGACATTTTCAAACACCGAACTAACAAAAATCCAAGAAAATGGGGAAAAGCAGAGGCCTGACTGAAGAGGCAACAACAACTCAAAGAGGCATCACGAAGAAGAACCAGACCACAGAAGGGGTTTACGCACTGCCCGGCCCAGCCCGGCTTTTAACCTGGGTTCATAGTTTTTGCATTTTCCTTTTAGGGCCGGCTCCAGCCTGACTTCTGGAACCTGCCCAGGTGAGGTTCCRATCRGGCCGGGTTGATCGGCCCAGTCATATACTGCTGATCATTTGATTGGTTTGTTTGYRAATGAGTCTGGCAAGTCRTTAAAATCATTTAGATCTACTAAATAGYAACTATTTTCATAACCCTTTCATGTAACAACAAGCTAATTCTGCTAGCTAATAGCTTACCAGTCGACGTCGTCTCGCTCTATCTGCTTGTTGTTGCTGTATGRCCAGGTACAGACTTCAGTACCTCTCCGCTCTTTTTCACATCGCCATTCTTCGTCTAACTCTACGTTTACATATCCATTCTTGCACTGAAATCTGTAATTTAACTTCTTGCATGAACAACATCAAAACAGCCCGAAGCTCAGTGGCGGTGTCCATTGATGAGTCACAAACCAAATGATGTCACTATCCAAATTTGCGTGTTTCCGGTAAGAAGTTCACACCCACTTTGAGGCGGCTCTCCGCACAGTGCGAAACAAGCAGGGCCGTGCTGGTCTCGGGCCAGGACCATCTCGGGCCGGGCCGGGGCGGGCCGTGCAGTGTGCAAACCCCTAGAGTGTTTGAACTGAGAGCAGTGATCAGGTGAGTGGATGCAGCTGAGTAATGAGACAAACGAACAGGTGCTGAGAAGATGATCTAAAAAGCAGGAATGTGGAACTGAAAGGCAAAGACAGAAAAAAAGCACAGGACCAGAGAAGAAATAAATAAAACTCAAATCCAACAATACAAGCAGTGAATCAGGCAGCTTAACGTCATGCAGCTCCACTAACAGGAAGCAGAATTTCTTTTGTGAGCTTGTTTCTTCTGCTGTTTCTGGATCCTGGGATGAAACTGTGACAAATCAGATTTGTGTCTTTTCCAGGTCGAATCCAAATAAAGACAAATCTGCAGGTGGAATTCAGCTCTCAGCAGCATTAGGCTGATTCCATTTTGASAAAAGTAATTTAATTTCCGTCAGAGTAGCTTACTTGCATGTAACATGTTTACTGCTGTAAACAAAACAACCTGATTTTGTCTGATTTTTTTTTATATTTTAAAGAATAAGAGCATTTTTTAAGTTGCTAACATAAGAAAACTGCGTTTGCTGTAGGAAAATGAGTGGCTTCAGACTGTATCTGCCTGCTTTGAGCTGTTTGGACGGAGCTGTTGCAGATTGGATCCACACCCTTGCAGGATGTGATGCACTGATTATATTTACAAGTGCAACGCCAAGTCTCCAGAGTTCCTCCAACACGATAAACACACCTGCCAGCCGATAGCCGAACCGCCTCGCTGTGTTTGTCAGTGCAAGTCTGCCGGATGTTAAATCAATAAACCACCTCGGTGCAACAAAGGAGGCCTGATGCGCTCCACAGGCTGCAGGGATCTTTTACTCACTCTGGCCTCCAGAATTTTCCACTTGGCTGAGTGAACCATATCTCATATGAAWGGTATTCTGGGCTGCGTTTGATGGGTCAAGATCCCACATGATGATTAGGGAACTCTGCATCATGTCAAGCAACACAGGAAACTTCTTTCTGTACTCTCATTGTAAATGCAGTGAAAAAAAGTGAACATACGCTGATAAATGTTCTAATTAAGGGTGCCAGTACATCCCTATCCTTTTTTTAAATCTCTTTATGCAGCTTTTAAACATCATATATCACAGGTTGAGTTAAGATTTTTAAAGATTTTACCACAAAATGTTCAACTTTGACAGTGATGATATCACACACTCAGAGTTTTAAAGTAATTAAATACAAACTTTTTGTTACTGTACTTAATTTAAGTAGAATTTTTGGGTTTCTGAGTAATTATTTTTCAGCCTACTTTTTACTTTTACTTCTTACATTTTTTTAAATGACAAGAAGT